TGGGGTGGCAGCACCAATATGCAGAGGGATAATAAAAGGAAACCCATCACGATTAGTGAAGACAACAGTCACCAAACCAGCAACCACAGAATGGTCTGGTAAGAGTGGGCTGAGAAAAAAATGGGACTGATTGAAACAGAGAATTGTTCTGCCTATTATTTTTACTACTTCATTAATTAAGCCAAATCCTACGTAAGTCACTTGGACTTTTCCTATTGTTTCTCTCTCTCCCTCGTGAAGACCAATTTTATTGTACTGATTTAGTACCTTGATTACCACATCATTTTTTCACCCTGAAAATAAGGAGAAAATAAGATATAATTATAACATTTCTTCTTTGCTACTCATCAGATTTCTGTATGCCATCAATTAAAACCACATCTAATATCCATCATTTAAATTAGGCCAAAGTTTTAAAAATGCTCTGTAAGATTTTTCCATGTCAGAATAATTCAGTCACTATTATGTTTCCTTGATGCAACTATTTTGGGATTTAGCTTGTTCCTTGATAGGAATTTAATTAAGTCATTTACATGTAATTTCCAAATATGTAGCTGTTGCAAAAGGCAGCAAAGAAACGAAAAGGCAAAAAGAAACCTGAGGAGAGCTAATCTTTAACAAAAATATTTCTGATATAAAAATGAATCTGAGGAATACATATTCAGTGATAAGTATTCCAGTCCATGTCTGGTAAACTCTCAGATAATGGCAGCATGGTGGGGTCACTGGGGTTCTATTAGCTCAATTAATGAGGAGTAAGATAAGGCTAACACCCAGCTCTTCAAACGGCTCAAAAATAGAGCTGATAGTAATGGAGTTATTAACCTTCGCCAGCCATTGAATTTTGCTGCTGATTCAAACTCCATTTCCTAGTTCAGGCCTCCATTAATAGGCTGTTTATTATCCCTAATCCACATTGGGATCAGCTGCAGAAATAGGAAAGCCCCATGTAAAGAGCAACTAGTTAAAAAGAAAAAAAATCTTTTTTTTTTTTTTTCCGTTCTGATTTTTCCCTTTTCAGCATATTCAGAGATTCTACCTGAGAAATTAGGAAATTCATTAGCCTAAACTGTTTGAATACCGGTTCTTAGCAGCGTGATGAAAAAGAAGCTTTAAATATATTATGTAAAAAGATGACATCATTTTGAAAACTAAATATAACACAGCTGGAAAACTCACACTGGAGAAGCTTTGCTGTTTATTTTCTCTACTGGGGAAGAAACAACTTTAATATTGAAAAAATGGGTATTTGAAATACATTATATATGTACTGTGAGGTCAATCCTCTAGTTCATCCCTCCCCTGCTCAGCTTTGTCTGTCCACTTGTATTATTTGTAGATGCTACTGTAATATAATTAATCAATACTGAAATGTAAAACAATCCAGCCTGGATTCAGATCAGATGGACAAAAACAAAGGAAATATTGGAACAGAGCAACTGGCAATCCCAGGACATGTAGGAGCAGAGCCTGTTGGCACAGATGGGAGGGATTGAGAACTCCAAGGCAAAGCTGGCTCCAGTTTAACTACAGAAATCTTGAGCTAGAAGATCTTTAGGCTCCTTGCTGAGACTGTACTCACTAATTTGGGATTTTTGACACTTTGGGAATTTTCAGTGTATTTTCAATGAAAGAGACACAGTTTAGTTACCACAGCCCACACACACACGAGGTTCTCCCAAAATCTATCACATCTGAGAGAAAATCAGCAATTCTGAGTCATGGAGTTAAGACAGAAATAGAAATGTTTATGCTACTACATAAACCTCCAGTACACAGTGCTGACCTCAAACTGGAATGCAGTTCTGGCTGCCCCATCCCAGCAAAGAAACAGCTGGAATGGCCAGTGAAGGAGGAGAACAGGGAGACAGCATGATCAGAAGAGCAAAATGACTTCTAGGAAAGGAAAGGATAACCAGACCAAAGTTCTTTGGGAAAGGGGTGACTGAAAGGCAACAAGAGGCTTACAAAATCAGGAGTGTTGGGAGACATGACCAGGGAATGCCTGTAACTGTTTCTCCACGGCAGAAACGAACCTGGAAAAACCAGTGAAGGGTTTTCATGTGACACCCAGCGAAATGTGATTTGATTTGGTGGCCAGAAGTGCAGCGTTGAGAAAGAGACTATAAAATCAAGGCAAATGGGTGATTAGACAGTTGTCCAGATGACCCTCTGGCTCAGGGAATCCTTAAACTGCCGACTGCCTTAGGCTGGCCTGGACCCAGCAGACAGCTGGGCATGGACCAGCTGAAGGTAATGACCAGAGATTCGCAACAGATGACACTGTTGCTGCTGAATCTTATTTTAACTGTAAGTTTGGGAGAGAGCAGGAAGGATAAGAAATATTTTGGTGAATATTAAATAGAATTTTCGGTATATTAGAACTGCCCATGGCTATATGATACATTTCTTGTTGCTGCTCAAGCACTAGCAATTAAAAAAAAAAAGCTAAAATACCTCTTTTACAGTGGTTTGGGTGAGGAACTGAAGTCAGTCCTTTGCATTAGTCCAGAGCTTCGGATGCCAACCTGTGTGTGGATTCCCACTTTCTGTAGGCACTAAGTGGTTCGTGGTGTCTTTCACTCCAGAGCTGAGAGGCCACAAATGGATTCAGCCCCTCATTTGCCCTCAAGGCTGCCACAGTTCAACAGGATTGGGATCCTGCCCACTTAGGCAGGAACTGCTTTGCAGGGAGGAACACAGAGAGCAGCTCATGTCTTCTGTGAGCACAGGGACAGCAGCTCTTTGGGAGCCAGGTTTTGCTGATACAGGTTCCCCTGCACTCAGCAAACCCTCACTCCACTGCAAATTCTAATTTAAAGAAAACCCTGTACCTCACCTCTCCAGTGGAAATTGAATTATTTTCCTTTTTGTTCCAGGGCAGTTCTTTGGATGCAGTAGCTGATGCTGTATGAGTTTTTTTATTATTACATTTTAACAAACTTTATAGCCCATTTTGTTTGTTTTCAAATAAGTTTATTTTCCTTCTTTTCTACCATCAATTACTAGGTTTGTTTTTCTTTCCATAAGATGGAGGAGTCAGGAGACTGATCCTGCTCAATGCTGTATAATTTAGTATTATGTATAGTAGCTTTACGAGGTGGGAGTCAGATAAAACATAGTATTTGAACACTAACCATTTATTAGCTCTAAGGAATAGATTTGTGACTTGACAAGCAGACAATAACTCTGTGTTCTGATCAGCCAAAGAGGTCTACTCTGAGTTCAAAAACCAGAGTAACATTCTCTTTCACAAATAATTTTGTTTACTGATGTGACTAGATTTTAATAATAAACTTGATATATATGTAAATTTATTTTAATCTAATTTCATCAACGGAGCCCTCCTAAAAATGAGACTTTGTAGATTGCTCTGTATCTGATTTATAGATTTCTACATCCTATTCCCAGATTGATTTCAAGGCTATAATTCTATCAGGTTTTTCTCCTGATGTCAGAAACACCACCTCTGCAGATAGTGTTTTATAACTAGCATCACAACTGCAACTGAATTACTGCCCTGCTGTCCTATGCTGCAATATGTCCTTTTGTTTATAATCACCCTCTCTCCCTTATATCCCTACTACTTCAGCTTCATGGAAAATATCAGCTCCCAAATCAATCAGGGAGCACAATGTCTATTTTTGTCCCTTACTTCAACCCCTGTGTGAACCAGCAGGGGCCAAATTCTTCACTCAGATCTGAATGTGCAGAGCTCTTTAAAGCAAAAGGGAGCTGAGCAAATGGATCAGTGCTGAATTTCCACACATCCAATTTTATAATGAGTTGTTCTTCCTCACTTGATGAGGTCTCAATCCTGCAAAGGGGCACGTGGGGCACACTTGAGGATTCACACTGATCTCTGGGACTCAGACACATGTTTAGGGATTCAGGACCTTCCTTCTAAATGCACACGAAGAATAATCCACGGGAAATGTGTTATTTAACTGAGTCTAGCGTAAGTTTCAAGATTATTTCTCCATTTTTTTCATAAAATGGATTCTTGTTTAAGATGCAAATTGTCTTTGAATAAATAAAGCTAGTGCTGTTTTCACACACTTTCCTTTTCAGACCTTGAGGGATGACTGTCAGCTCCCTCCCTTTGCACTCCCCTCTTTTCTCTCTCCACCTCAATCTCACCCTTTTCCATCTTTTCCTCTCCCCTGTACAGGGAGTGGGGAGGGAACTCAGGGCAGCCACACAGCAGACACAGGAAGAGAAACTTTGCCAACCTAAACAGTTATGTGGGTAATACACCTTTCCTACTTTTTAGATAAGAACAGCTTCCTGGAAGCATAAAGACTACAAATTTCCATGTATGCCTTTGGAATGGCCACTGTGCCAGCCAATGGTATGGACTGAACCAGGAAGCCCTGGGAAGGGAGTGGAGAAGCCTCTCAGCTTTGAGGAATCCACCAGCACTTCAAATCCTCACCACCTTTGGACCAGCTGTGAAAAGTAACACTATTTTATCTCCTCGGCACTCATAACAGTTCTTTTTTTGATGCTGATGCCTCTCATATTACATTTCTGAACAATTCATTACGGCTCAAATAAAATATAATTCTCATGTTGTTTTTAATTATTTCACAAGCCCCAAAAGTCTCATAATGAACTCCTTGCAATACCAATATATTTCTGTGGTATTATTCCAGTGCTGAAGAAAGAAGATGTAGATCCCTCCTCCTGCTGCAAATAAAATACAACTTCTGATATAATCCCAGTTTTAATCCGTTTCTTGTGGGTTTGTCTTTAGAGGCAACTCAAACAAATAACCAGAACAACAAACCTCTTCTCTCTCCCACAGTTTGGCCATCTGGAGCATTTGTAAGTCCAGGGCTCTATCTCCTACTCTCCAGGAAGCAAGACCCCTTTGCTAGCTAAGGAAGCCACAAACAAATAAGATGCAACAGCATATACAACGTCAATAAACATCTGTATCTTTCCACAAACATTTTTTTCATATATGTAATGCTGTGATTGCTCAATTTCCCTCTTACCTGTTTGGGTTAATCTGTGATTTCTGCAGCTTCTCTGCCTGCTCGATGTCCCTGGGGAAGCCGGAGAGCACCCAGCCATCGGTCAGGCACTCGAGGGAGCTCAGGCGCTGTGTCAGGAGCTCCAGGACAAGGTTGTCTGGGACTGCAAAGGATTCAAAAGGTGACATTTATTTTGTGTGCTGAGCCTGCAGTTAAGGAGGATGCACACAACTTCCTCTGGATAGACTGCTCCAGAAACCACACAGAGTTATTCCCGTTTGTGACTGATAGATTTTGGAGAGAGGAGTCACTTGTTGGGTTTTGCATATTTACTGTGCCAACATGGAACCCCCAAACTCATAAGGAACTGCAGGACTAAAGTAAAGTACTTGGTAAAACCTGATGCCTCCATCATTTTGCAATGTGCTTTTTCTGTCAGCCACACTGGACTGATGTCACAGTGACGTGTGTGACACCATCTTATCAAAATGCAAAAATAATGATCTGAGTTGTGTAAAAGAAATCCTAAAACAGGAAAGACATTTCTGAGCACTCTGTGTTGAACCCAGCAGGTGTCAATGCTTCTGCCACAACAGACGACCTGTGCTATTGCTCCAATTTGCCCAAAGGCTTGAAGACTTTATGACTGAAAATAAATTTTCAAAATGTATTTCAGCTACTTTTACTACTCCATTGATGACTCCCTAATTTTACAGATAAAAGTTCTTTTTCCTCAATTACTATTTTCTTTTAGGGCAAGAGAGAAAGAAAGAGATGTGGGTATGTTGTGCTGTTGAGCTTCCAGCAGATCCTAGGAGATTCCCCAGTTCCAGGGCCAGATTGCTTCCATCCTTCACATGGGAAGGAGAAGCACTGCAGCCCACAAGAAAATTAAAAAGATGCAAGATGCTGACTGGGGTTACAATTACCATGCAGCTTTAAAAATTCTATTTAATGGGACACAGTAGTAAGGAAGTACCCTGCATATTTTCACTGGAATCTTCATAAAATAAAATATTTCAGTCAAGATATTTAAACAGGTAAATTGGGGGGCGTGAGGGGGAAGGTGCTTGGTTTTTCTCAGAATTAAATTATTAGGTTCAACCCGAGTGACCGTAAATTTTCCAGTGACTGTTGCAATGTGTTGGGCTCAGTGTCAAATAACCCCAAAGAAGGGACAGCAAAATCACCTCAGGCTGCTTCCCAAAGCAGCAGCCAAAACAATTCCCAGGCAGCAAGGAGAGCCCCTTCCCTTTATCTGCTCACTCTGTCTGACACACGGGTGCCTCTGCTGAAAACAAGCCAGAAAAATTGCTACATAAATCCCCATCATGGCATGTGGATGTTTTGATGCTCACCCTGCCATCACATCTGCATACAAAAATACAACAACAAGTGCTTGTAGGAGAGTGTATGTGTCAGATTTCTAACACTGCACTTTGCTTCAGGACAAGCTGACAGGAATCTGCCTGTATTTTAGCAGAGTGAATTATTAGCAGTGCACATTTCTACCCCGGGTACGAGCAGGTTTTAAACTGCAGTAATAGAATCCATCTGCTTCCTGAAATTTAACATTGCACCTCTATCATGAAATTCATTACTTCTCCTTTAAATAATCAAATTACTGAGTTTACAGAACTGCACTCAGGATTCAATGTACCAGCAAAAAGGGAGGAAAACCGCGGGGAATTAATTAGAAAACAGATTAGTGTATTAATTGAGGATATCCACTTCACATTATAAAAGAACAAGTTAAAGAGAGCAATATTCTCCATCTGCTGAAATGAAGGAAAAAAAAAAAGGAATGGAATAAACCCAGACACTTGACAAAGAGCAAAATGACAATGCAAACCCAGGTATTCCATTAATAATGGGATTCATAAAATTAACTCTACAATAGCGCAGCAGCAGGCAGGGATGTTCTCAGACAGATGATACTTCTCTATCCAAGAGCTGAGCTGCAGGCAGGGATGGGAGGGATAACAGGAGGATTTCAGTGCTCTTTGCAGGGCACTTCTTCTGCCCACCCTCCAGCTTACAAGAACTGGTACAAACCCAAGACATCCCAGGAATAAAGAAAAACAAATAAACCCGCCTTCTCTTTCCCAAAAATGTATTCCACACAAAGACCAGTGGCATTTTCCCGTGCCCCTGAATTTCTGGCTGCAGCACTGAACTTTCTTGTCTTGATGCATGTTATTTTATGACAATTCTTACTGGAATCATTGACATGGATTTATGGAGATGCCAAATTACAGGATTGGTTGTTGGTTTTTTTTGAAAAAAATGCAGAATGCTCAAAACAGTTTTACAAGGAATTGGAATAAAACCTACAAACTCATGAGTAAAACTGCAGTAGGATTCTGCCAGAGCTGACATCCCTGTGAGATGAACAGGGAATCAGGGCAGAGGCTGAAAGCCCCAGGAATGGCACAGAGACATTAGTGGGTATGTTGTGCTGCTGAGCTTCCAGCAGATTCCAGGAGATTCCCCACTTCCAGGGGCCAGATTGCTTCCATCCTTCTTATGGGAAGGAGAAACTGCAGCCTACAAGAAAATTAAAAAGCAATTGTGATGAGAGCCTGGTGGCATCTCCTGGATTTGATCACTTCTCCAAGGCCTCCTGTGAGCCCTGACGAGCAAAGTCCTCCACTTTGGTCAGTCGCTATTTTTGAACAAAACTGAAGCAATCACAAGAGGAAAAAAAATCCATCAAGATGCAGTGACAATTAATTAATATTTCACCTAATGACACTGCAGGGTGTTTTGAGTAGCACTGGGGTGATGTGGTAACCCTGACACCTCTCTCACTTCAGCTGTGAGTGACTGGAAGACATCAGCGATACCCTTCAGGTTGTTTGTTCACTCATGTACATATATACATCACTGAATAATATAGATGCTTACATATCTTCTGTGCCTCCCTCTAAAGCTTGATGGTGAGAAATAAAACATAAACAAGTCAGACAGCAAGCTCTGCTCTCCTCTTGATTAGCAAACATACCTATCACTTCAACACAATGGGGGAACAGAGCTTGTTGGCTGCTCGGTGGCATTACAAAGTACATCAGCTGCCCTTGAACAGCAACAGTCACACTTAAAACAGCTGCATTAAAACTGTAAAACATCTTCCACAGACCAGAGGGAAGGAAATAAAAAAAAAAAAAGGAGGAAAAAAAGGAAGGAAGGAATCAGTATTATTCTTATTTTGTAGTACAGACAGAGTAGGTAATGAAGAACTCTGCAGTACAGTATTCCTTTTCACTCATGTGGAACTGTCTCTGGAATGTAAAGCAAATTAATAACCTGTAATTGGAGGGGCACACAGTCTGTGAGGAACTAGCCAGAGGTCTCCTGGCCTTAAGCACATGACCCAATGGGTATATAGCAAAGTAAAATATAGAGCTTTACTGATGAGACAGTCAATCCCCATGTTTTAAGTAGATTATGAAGCACAAGAGCTTTGAATAATCAATTCCTTTTCAACATAAGCCTGTGTGAGTTTCCAACTCTGCAAGTTGGGGAAATGAGACTCGAGAGAGATTTTACTTTATCATTAGAGGAGTCCAAAGGTAAGTTTCTTGTAAAAATTACAATGTGCTGCTACAAAGAGCTACCCACATTAGGTAATGTGGAAGCACATCTCTATTAGGGTGAGAAATCAGGTACAGGAGTAAAATTCATCCCTCAGAAGTAAAGCTGCACAGCCACTACAGTGATACCTGAGAGCATCATTTATAGCTGTGGACCAGGGTCACAGTGACACCAGACATGGAATACAGGGCACAGTGAGGCCCCAACCAGCTCCATACAGAAATGCAACTCATTCATGCATATATTCCCACCTAACACCAACCACACACCACTGTCTCCTTTATCTCCCAGCCTGTCTGACCACATTAATGGCCCAGACTACCCAGCTGAATTAGCAGCTGAGGACCTAAGGAGTGATCTAATCAATTCAAGGGTATGATCAGCCAGGGGACAGAGAACTGAGGCTTAAAGTGCTGCTGTTCATGCTGGATCTGCTACGTGGACACCCAGAGATTTTCCATCTCCAGGGCTGTCAATCAGCACCTTCCAGCAGACCATTTAAAAAATAAATTTGCTTTTCAGAGCTTCAAAGGTTTTTACAGGTATCAGGTACTTCTCATGAAGTTCAGAGCAGTGTGGCCTATTAGCTCTTCCCCAGCCCATGGATCTGCAGGACTAATAGAAACCTGGATCAGGCAATCAGCTACAAAATCATACCATCTGCTCAAGACAAAAGTAACAGAACATTAAAGGCACAGTCTGAAAGGCAAAAGCGCCACTTGAGAGATTACAGGGCACTATTCTCCAATAACTTCAATGTTGTCAGTGCTCCAAGCTATACAATTACCATATATAAATTAATTCCTCCTCTGTACATTTCCCTTTAAAACAGACTTTTGAAGGGTATTGACTCACTTCTCCAAACCTATAAAACCTCAATTTTAAGCATAGCATAAATGCATTTGCAGATATAAATTCTGTCAGCTTTGCACTGCAAAAGCTTTAAGGTCCTTTTGACAATACTGTCCATTTACTCTTCATCCTGCTCATAGAGATTTTTTTTTTTAGCTGGGTCTGAAGACTTTCACAGCTAATTCAGATGCCCGAGGCTTGATCCCAGTAGTTGACAGTTAACATCTTGCCCTGAGAATAAGCTACTGCCAAAGGCTACTTTCCTGGATTGTCCTGTCAATCCTAAATTTAGCAAAGCATGAGATTTGCTTATCTTATTCCTCTAGAAACTCTGGATGATTCATAAAGAGTAATTGGGTTTTCCTATTCTGTTTTCTTGCCCACATTAAGGTCCTCAGAGATTGTATCGATCGAGACTGTATCAATTGTTTTTTAATGTGTTTGAGAATGATTTAGCAGTGATTTGCCGTCGCGTAGGCTGATCGATAATTGAGGCTAATCCTCCAAGCCGCCCGACTGGAGAGGACGGGCAGGCTTGGCGTTCAGCCGGTTCGGTCGCCGGCGATAAAGAACCATCCAAGTGCGAGCAGCGGCACCGGGAGGAAAAGGGAAAAGTCAGGTGCAGGGAATCGGTTCTCAATCAGAATATGCCGAGTTGGAAGGGACGCACGAGCATCATCGAGACCAACCTTTAGCCCTGCAGAGGACTAAGCCCAGGAGTCACACCATGTGCCCGAGAGCATCATCTCCTCCGGAGGATTCCCGGGGGGACTCCAGGGGGCTCCGATGGGCTCCGGCCCCGCGCAGCCGGGGGGGGGGGGCCCGAGGGGTTCTGGAGAGCTCCTGCCCCGCACACCCGAGGAGTGCTCGGGTTTTCCCGGCGGGTCCCGTCCCCGCACACCCGGGGTTATCCCGGGGTTATCCCGGGGCTGTCCCGGGGGTCCCGTCCCCGCACACCCGGGGTTATCCCGGGGTTATCCCGGGGCTGTCCCGGGGGTCCCGGCCGCGGTTGGATGTTCTCTGTCTCCACCCCGCGGTCTCTCCGGGCAGCGCAGCCGGTCCCGCCCCGCGCGCAGGAGCCGCCGCGGCCCCGCCGCCGAAATCCCGGGAATTCACAGAAAAACGAGCCCGCTCCGGGGGCTGCTGAGGCTTCCTGGGGTATCGGCACCGTCGGGCTGGCACGGAAACACTGGGAGCATCCGCGGGTCTCCTGTTTTTGGGGAAGGGACAGAGGCAACGCAGGAAAAAGCGGCACCGGCGAGGGTTCGCGAACGCGGGCGGTGATCCATCAAAGGGACCATTCCCACGGAAATCCCGTCTCCACTCGCTCATTTTACACACACGGCACTGCTGGGAGAGGGCTTCTGTAAGAACCGGCATAATTATTTTAATACAGTAAAATAAGTAATGCGATAAAATATTTCCTTTCCACATTTTAAATATTTTTGTTTCTTCGAATAGATTAGAATCCCTCTTCTTCCTTTTTTTTTTATTTGTTTTTGTTTTGGGGTTTTTCTTTAGGTTTTTAGTAATTTAAAGTAGGAATTGGCTGTGTTAAAGAGGAAATGCTAACGTTTTTAAAGCAGGTATGATCCCAAATCATCGATAAAACGACACCGGATAAATTAAGACCTTCAGAAATAAAGGAGAGCAAGTGCTGCCTCACAGGTATCCAGCCAGAGATTCAGGAATGTACATCTGATCACATCCAGTGACGAGGTAAGATGCCAGCCCCTTACACAGCTTCACCTGTCAGCAGCAGTGAAAATTCAGTCCAAAATGAGTATCCAGCACACAAATAAAAAGCTGTTTTCCCCTAAAAATGGCCTCTGTGCTGTTTTTCGTGTATTTGCCTAATGGCACAGGCTACCAGGATGATCCAGTGGGCTCCAAGGACACAATTCCAGACCCCTGGGTTCCCATCCACACTCATTCACTGATTGCAACGAGGCTCGAGTTCAATGAGGTTTTCTGCCTCAGTTTACCTGCCTGTGAGACAAAAGCCACTCTGAACTACCTCACAGGGGTGTGTCTAACCTGAAAGTTTCTAAAGCTAGAAACAAAATGTATATTTGCACTACTTCTTTTATTGCTTTGGCTTCCACAGACAGAATGCAGCACGAGGCAGCAACCACAGTTTGAACCCAGCGGACTCATAATTTCCATTATCAACCAAGTTCCCTATTTCCTCCTTATTTCTAATAGTTCAGCTCTACTGAAGAACACAAGGCTTGTAACAGTGCAGAATTTGGCCTACAAACTCCTTTTTGATAGTGATAATATTAATAAAAAAAGATAAACATAGTGAAAAACATCTTGGCTTTTTACACCCAATGCTGCTTCCCCATGCCACAAGAAGGGAGGATGCTCATCCCTTACCAGGGATACCTGGTCTAGGTCCCAAACAGTCCTGTGTCTCCTCTTCCCACTCCTCCTGACACCTCCCAGCCACATTAAAGGGACATTTAAAAATCTAAAGCAATACACAATTAAAAGAAATATAGAAATACACTATTAAATGTTTTGCTCGTCATTAAAAAAGTCTGTTCATACAGAAGTGTGATTCTGGGTATGACACTGTGAAACAGAGACAAAGGCAGAATTTTAAGGTAAACTCCCCCAAAAAGGGGATGCTGCCAACATGTAATGTACTTTTCCTTCTGGTTTTTGTATAAAAACTCATGTGATATGCCCATCCTAAACTCCAAAGAGAAAAACACACAGAATTCAAGTCAGCAGCCCTTTGCTGAGGAGATAGTGTGCAAGGAAAGGAAAGCCCACTTTTCCAAGTTTTTAAGAATGACTGTCACCAATAAAGATCAATATAAGAGATTATAATCTCAGTAAGAGATTAATACTTCACATTTATATTGTACTTTGCCGTTTAAAAGCCCCTGACAACCATAAGGCCACAAATGGCCAAGGGCCACATCTTCACTCAAACTCATGAGGGTTTGTGGCACTAATATTGGATTATTAACCCTCCAGCAACAGCAGGAATGGTGAATTCTGCTGGAAAACCAGGAGATTGGCAACCTTTGTATAGGCAGGATCATATCCACTACCTGACTGATCATCTCAACTGCTCCAGACAACAACTGCACTCATCTCTTAAATCAAACCACATTTCTTTGGCCTGGTCTGGCTTCCAGGATTGGCTTTTTTGAGGTGGGTTTTTTTGTTGCTCTGTTTTTACTCCTAAGCAGGGTGGTCTTAAAAAATATCTTTGTAGACCAAGTCTCGTTCCAGCTCTGAGTATCTGCGAGACAGATAAGCCAATTTTGATTGTGCCATGTGGTGTAGAATAAAAAAAAATACATTCAAGATTTTCAAAAGAAGGAAAAGGGAATTCTAACTTACCATCTTGCAGTGATTCAATGTATAAAAAAGTAAAAATCAGGAAAGAAAACAACAACTTACTACCTATATGCCCTCATGTAAAACTTTCTATGCTACGACCTTGCATCTTTTACAAAAAGATGGCCACATAAAACAAATAAAAAAAAAAAAATTAAATTTTATTTTGTTCTCTTGACCACCAATTTTCTCCGAGTAGGAAAAAAGACTGCTACCTATTTTCCATAAAAAAACCTTTGTAGCAGTCCCAGGGGAAAAGTCAAAAGTTTGACTTGAAAAACGGAGCTACTTCAAAAGCATTGTCAAACAGAGGTGAAGGTTTCTTAAAAATGCATAAATTAAAGTGTGGTGTATTCATAAATATCTCCATAACTTTACACAGCCTATTTGTGGGCGAGGTGCACATATAGGGGAACATATAGAACTGCTATAAAACCAACTTGAATAAAGTAGAAAATCGATTTGTTTATTAGCTCCTGTTTGGACTCTGTGTGTGTGTGCGAAAAAATGAAAGAAAAATGGAGAGTTTTTTTTCAATAATAAAAAGGGAGTTGCACTGCAGGGCCCCTAAAGCTTGTGAAAAATTAAACTCGACGGATTCAAACTGTCCTATTTCCACTTCAAAAGAGAAGAGGCACTGAGCTCTTCCCAACTTATCTTCAAACGCCCAGCACCCTAGAAAGTTTCTTTAAAAAAAATAAAGTCTCTAGTTCCCCCAAGCACTGTACCCGTTACTGTAGCTGCTGTCTCTCCCTCTTCTAATTATACCCATGTGAGTCTATTAATCAACTTGTAAATTATTTAGAGAGCCATGCGCTGTCTTCAGCCAGTACAAACACGCTGCATGCAAAGACTCGCTGAAAACCAATGGAGCTCCCAAAGGGTCTCTCCAATGTTCAGACAGCTCACAGCTCGCCAGTACAGCTCTTAAAAACACGGAATAACACTCAGCTTTACCTCCTCAGATATAAAGATTTACTCAGCCTTTCAACTCTGAAGCTCCTTGCAAGTTTTTAACAAAGAGGAAGCGGCTCTATTGTCAGAGCTGTGTTTCGCACTTAGTGATGAGAATATTAATTTCCTGTCAGAAAAATAAAAGAAAAAAAAAAAAGAAATAAAAACAGCCTGAGTGTTTTCGGTGAGGCTGTGATCACAGTCACCAGGGGACCCCAACTTTCAGAGGCTACACCAAAAAAGCACCCCTTTAAAACCATTCCAATTTAAAATACGGGGAAAAGAAATCTATATTTGTACAGTAATAGTTTTTATTAGGAAAAAAAGGAGAAATTAGGGAATTCCAGATTTTACCCCCTACGTGCAGACTGCCATTGGGGACAGCTTCAGATATTACTGCTTGAAAAAACAGAAAAAGGAAGGAGGAAAAAAACAACACAGATTGTGTGTGTTCAACTCTAACAGGCTGCAAATGGTGCAGTGTTATCTGTCTTCCATGAATCAGCTCTCTTACCACCTGAATCTTCATTTTGGTGGAAAAAACCCACCCAATTACCCAAACTAATAGCAGTTCTCCCAGCTGAAAAGCAGAATTTTACTGGTTTGGGAGTGAGGATCTTTTCCCTCCCTGCTCTTTTCGTGGTGTTTTCCAGTCATCTCACTGTTCTTGGCTCCATTTATTGCTGCCTCACAAACAGATATATTAATTAGCAGTGATCAGTCCACACTATATCACCCTGAAAACTGGGCAGAATGACATACAAATTTCAACTGACTGATGACCTTCACTATTTTTGTGATTTTTTTTCATTAATAAGATGCAAACACCTCAAGGGGCAAACACCAGGGACATTTTGGGGTGGGGGGAAGCAAAAATGCTTTCTGCAATTTTTTTTTTTCTCCCAGGGTATCAAATTCTGACAGGCACCTTTAAAATGGTGAACATAGATCCTGTAGATGGAGGATAATTTAATTTTTCAGTTAATGTGTGCCCATGTTTTCAGTGAGGCAGGTCCAGAAGTCAGTCTAGCCCTTCTCAGAACTGCAGGGACAAGAATTCTGCATAAAGGTCTTCTTCAAGCCTGTGGGGTCTAGGAGAGGTCTATCTACATCATCTGTCCAGGGAAGGACCAGTCTTCCAGAACATTTCAGAAGGAATCAAACCAAATAAATGAATTTATGGAGCTGTCTGCTGCCTGTGGGAGGGTTCTGACCACTACACTCACCTCTTACTCCAAATGAAAGTCTCCCCAGGCTGCCCAAGCAAATGGCATGAGCTAAATTTAGCATTATTGACCAAGATTTAATCTAACTGGAGTCAGTGAGCAGAAGACTGGTCTCAGACTCCAATGCTGGTAATTTTCTGCCCAGAGTATAGTTACTAATAATTGCCCAGTATTCAGTGAAACCACAGTATCCTAAAGGAACAGTCTGTGCATTTCAGACTGGTTGTCCAAAGCACAATTCTATGTTTATGACAGACAGAAAGCTGTCAGGTTGCTGAACTTATCACCAAAAATGCATTTTTCAATATCTAGTGTGCACCTACTAGACTAGTATGTCCTGGGAATTAAAAAATTAATGGGCTCAAAAATATCTATGCTGCCTTCATTAAGCAAAATAAATCCCCGTACACAAAATTGAGGAGTTTGATAAAGCAGGTCTTTATGAGACAGCAAACACTAGAAAATACAGAAAATGGGAATGCACTGGGTTGCCTTCTGGGGTGAATAATAGAATTGTCTGGGCTGTTCCTGAAATACATGATGAATACCTGAGGAAGCACAGGAAATACAGGAAAAACAGCACAAAGGATGTTTGTGAATCCTGAACCCACGAAGAGATGTGAGTTAGTCAAGCTGAACTAGAACAGCACAGACAGTGGAGAGCCTCAATAACTCAATAACAAGTTAGCTTTGAATAAGCTGGGGTTTGAGCCTTGTTATGACACCACAATATGCCCTGTTGGCATCTCTTAAATGACTAATCAAATGCCATCATTTGTGTCCACGAGAAGGGAAACACACTGAGATCAGTCCCCTGGGTGAGCATTTTAAGAATATATGAGGCACATCCTCAAGATTTCATGGCACGAGTTTCCTTTTGCCCAGTAATGATTTGAGTGCAACGTTTTTCATGGTCTGCCTTTGGTTCCACTGTTCTGTGACAGTGTCACTGGCACAATTCCTCACCCAAAGGACAAACTAAGCCCACTTACAGCTAGAAATGTAATGAAAATGGTGAAGTTCTAATTGCTTTCCTGTTATGACACTGTCTGATATTGACTGCACCAACTCTTTTCAAGTGAGATTTTCTTGAAGCTGAATGTGGTCAATAATAGTGTGAGAATCTTTCCCCTGTTTTAACCTGGTTGTAACTCTGCAGCAAGAGAGCAAAGATGCAAAGGTTCTTTGCCTACCTTTCCTCTTCAGTACACTGCGTTATTTCATTTTCTCCAAGCCTCTTGTGAGGGCAGTAATGAATTCCTGTTAGTGTTTACTAATGTAAATTCATTCTTTGTTATCCCTGGGAGAGGAGGATTAGCAAAATGACAGAACTTATTATTTCTGGTATTGCTATATGATATTTATCTTTATTCAGCCCTTAATTTTGTGGTATGTCCCCCTAAATAAAATATATATGTGCACACAAGCAAAAACTAAGGGAGAATTTTTAGCATAATGTACAGAAATATAGTTATGATCCCTATTAACATTCAGAAGTGCTGTACAGCTTTATTCTTGCATGCTGTATTAAAAAAATTAATCTAAATCTGAAATAACTTCTAATTTGGAGGAAGAAAGGAATTACAACTTCAATTTCATTTTCCTGAAAGGAAAGCAGCTCCCTTGGACTAAGGATGTGCATATTTTTAGGACTGGCTAAAAATTATGACCTGTGCAGTTATTTTACTCTACTGGGAATGCATTTGGTATCTCCTTAAAGGAACTTTAGCGGTTAGAACGAAGTTTATAAAGTATACAAAGAACATTTTAGTAAAGAAAGGTCATAAAGGACCTATCTTTGAATAAATAGACCATCCAAACTCCCACCTCAGCCATAAGTGAAATTTAGAGAGCGAGGCGTTTACAGTGGTTGTCCTCCTTTTCACAGAGCTGAGGAGAAAGTGAGACCATGAAAAAGACACAGACACAGAGCTTAAAATGATCTCAGTGTGTGAGTTACACACAAACAGCCACATTCAGGTCAAGCAGACTGTACACGTGGAGAAGTTATTCCCACACAAGAACACCTCGGACCCACGGCATCGATATACTGAGACCTCTTGCCTTGGAGTTAAATGGCCACTCTGAGCAGCAGCATCTCTAAACCAGAAAATCCTCTCCCACATCTCTGTGCCTGTTTCAGAGGACTCAGCTTCTCCCTTCCAGGCTGCAGAGATCCATGCTTTCCATTCCCATGGTTCCCATATAAACTCCTATTCCCAGTAAAATGGTGGCTGCCACAGGAAATTAATGAACCGAGTTACTCCATTATGAATAAATGCAACCCATTCACTAGAGACCAAGTTTAGAGTTAAAATATATTACCTTGTGGCTTGATAAAGTGCCTGACAGAGGGATAACATTCCCAAAGCTACAGGCTGCCAAAGGTCTTTTGGAAATGCTTAGAAAAGTCCTGAATCCCTTGGTCTGGTATCAAGGGAACCTCAGTTAATTTTACAGGCTCATGTTTCAGATCTGTCTAATTCAGTCTCAGAATTAAGCCATTGTGCAAAAAAAAAAGAGGGAGTTTCAAGCTTTCCACCTTACCAGATAACTTTCTTTGCTAAAAATAAAAGGCAATGAAGATTTCTCTTTTCTCAGGGGCGGTTTGCTCAAAATTCCATTAAAACTGAAGCTTAACTGAGATTTCTCCATCTTCAGCACGTTTGCCTCCTTGTGTTTGTACCATTGGTAACTATTTGGCCTGCTGCCAGAAACAGGACTGAAAGTGCCTTTTCCAGGCCATTGTAATTTGGCAAAATAAACATTCTTCCATTCTTACTGCAATACAACTTCTCCCTTGTAGCTACAGATCTGCTCTGACTTTTAATACCCACCACACACAGACAGCTCTCCTCGTGCAAGACAACTCACAGGCAGACAAGTTGAAGCTGCTGCCCTAAGGAGCTCACAGTATTTATGATTTATCTGAAATCACTCCAGAGCCTTCCAAAAGCAAAGTATGCTTAACATTCTTCGTGGTTGTCCCCTCCTACAACCAAAAATGCTGATAGAAATGAAGTCCAAAGAAATTCTATGTTCAAAATATTTGTGTGGAAGTAGAGGAATCTAGAGTAGTGTTCTAGAAGTCAACACCCTCATATAAAATGAGACACAATGCTGTGCTTTATAACCAGTTTAACATAATAGTGTGCTTCAGAAATTATTTAAACATTTTAAAATTGTATTAGAATTCTGATCTTGATTTAGAGATAAAACCATGGAATTCGAATTTCAAAATGCGCACAAGAAATCTGAATTTCACTGGAACACTGAATTATTTGCTCTGAAGATATAAAAAACCCCTCACAAATCTAACTTCTGTTATGCAGTGCTACAAATCACATGGAAAGGATGGAATTAATTGACTTCTAGGTTACTCTTAAGTAACTTGGATTAGAATCTGACCAAGAAAAGTTCACTCACGATTCGGTTTTTGCCACAGATTTGTAACTACGGTGTAATGAGAGAACAACATGCCCTACCTGGCCATCCATTGTCAATGTAAGGCTTAATGAGTTCTCCAAGATTTGTGTTGTCTGCAACAGCTTCCTTTAGCAGTTGCCCACAGCAAACTAACAGGAAGGAAGAACAAAAAAGACACAAGGTTAAATTTTAAAAAGGAAGCAACAAAGAAAAGAAAAAAAAAACCCAACAACCAGAAGCTGCATACTGGGATAAGGTCACTGAATAAAACAAAAGTTGTGTGGTTTTTGGGTTTGTTGTTGGGATTTATTTTTTTTTTTGGCCAAGCAGAGCGAAAAGCAAAGAGAGGGAGAATATTGAATAAAAAAGAAAAGAATATGTTTGGCAAAGAATGTATTAAAAATGGAGATAGAGAGATAGACATTAATCAAAAATGTTTCTGAAATAATAACTCAGGGGATTGCCAGTGGTTTTCACTTTTTATAAACTTGTAATTACTGAATAAAGTTACACCTGCTGAACAGTGTCTGAACCACACTGCTGGAGGTGCAGATAATGCACAGTTCAAGGAAGGGACTCCCTGGATCACTTAATGATCATGTAAGAATCACATTTAAAAAGCTGTGCTAATGCAATATTATCATTGCCTTCAAATACACAGAGCACCAGGAGATGCAGATTTAAAGTTTTAGCCTTGTACATGAAATATTGTTACTTTGGGCTTGGACAGCACTTGGTGACTCAAGTGATTGAGTCCCACCTGCCCCACACAGGTCAGATCCAAGAGAGCCTTGTTTTCCAGAGAGGGAACCAAGGCATGGAAAGTTACACAAATCAGGGCTTTGACTCAGTTTTGGGAAGTATTATTTTACATTCACTCTGTACATTATTGCATGATCCCATCTATTAATAATCCTAATTTGATTCCACCTTTCCTGAAGTCAAAAGCACCAACATGCACTGACTTTAAAGGAAAAAGATTGAGCCCTTTCATCTGCTTCACCACTGCTAATCACACTGTTTAGCAAACAAGAACATTCCACAGCCACATTCCTGGGACAAAGCTGATAAAGTTTAATGTTTAAGTCACTATTTTAACTGTCACTAGTTGTCCTGGAGAAGCAAATTTATATTCACAATAAATAGTGTAAAAAGATAACAGAAACTCAAGTGCACAGATCCCAATTTAAGATCTAAAATGTACACACCTAAATTCAATCCAATTCACATGATATTTAAACATAAGTTTAAATTTTTAAGCCTGTGCTTCAATCCCAATGGCTTAATTGGAAATAAAGAGGGATTTATTTAGTATACATTGAACAAACACTAATGAAACAAACTTGCCTTTGTTTAACTAAGAGGATATCACTAATCAGCAAATTTTACAGATATTAGACATTGGTTTAAAATAATTATAGCTATTCCACTATTAGAAGATGTTATAGAGCACTTAAAATACTGCACCAGTCCTATAACCAAGCTGATATTACAGAAGTTTGTAACATTTGCATGCCAACCATGAACAAATCTCATTCAGAACTTTTTGGGCCTCTTTTACAAAAGAAAGAGAATGTATTTTTCACTAATTCCTTCATTTTCTCACATGTTACTTCAGATGTGCAGAACCTGAGTATTTATTAAAGTTCAGAGTAAATTCTATTTTAAAAGTGCCCCAGTTTTGGTCAGACAGCTGAAACTGCAAAGACATTACTGGTAATCCACTGATCCACAGAAGAATTCAGAGCACTACAGGAATCTAACAATGGGAAAATACGGATCTAAAGGGTATAAAAATGATGAAATGATGACTAAAAAAATGTTAGAGCTGGTTTGTCACAGCACATACACTTGGTTTATACTTCTTCATTCAAATACTTTTTACTTCTCTGGAAAACCTGACATCCATAGCAAGGGACAGACAGAGACATTTTACGAGCAAGTAAGAAAGACAGCAAAAGATAAATGATCAAAACCAGAGGAAGGGGGAACTGAGCAAAGTGCATATTTACTGAGAACTTACTGTTGACAACACCGTATTTCTGAGCTATTAGTGCTGCCTGCAGGCTCTTCCCACTGCCTGGGGGGCCACAAAAGATGATCCGTGGGGTAAAGGGGGCGGCTGATCTGTGCCGTGTCTGGACATAGGTAAGAACTGGAAGATGAGAGAAAGGCAAGAAATATAGTTTTTAGCCTATTTCTTAAAAAAAAAAATAAATTCATTAACTTCTCTCTTCTTTAAAAAAAGGTTGTCATGTTGATCGTGATTTAATCACTGAAACATCCAGACATGCAACCAAAATAAAACTGTCTCATCAGCAACTTACTCTGAGAGGCATTTTAGAAATCTTACCATCATTACATTCCTCTGCTTTCTTTCATCAGTAGCTGTGAAACCATTTTAAAGAGCAGATTCAATTAATAATTGCTCCTTTACCATCTTGTTTTCAGCAGAAGTAATTTTTGCTTGATAGCTGCAATTTTACCATGCAAATTATAGAGGTCTATAATTACATTTAATACTTTCTGCAGTTTCTGAACAAATATTTAAGTGTAAAAACTCAGGATGTTAAATTAATGACATTTATCCAGCTGTGTGTGATTAGGACTCCTAATTACAACACTGTAGACTTGTAGCACAGGGTGTCACAACACAGCACTGACAACACAAAACTGAGTATCTATGGTTTTTTCTTTTGTCCATCATTTTTGTGTAATATGCAAAGAATGTTTGAGCTTCTCTGTCTGATTCCACTCATTTGCTGGGCATCATTCACCTGAATTTTGTATCATGCAGGAAATAGAACCTTCAGGTCAATGTGCAGATTATGAGAGCTTTGGAAAGACCACAGGATATGTGAAGCAGCATCAATGTTCCCATATTATGGAGATCTGAACGTTGTTACAATCTCAAAACAGTAATTGAGAGATCACTAAGAAGCCAAAAGATGTCACAGCTTGGCAGTGAGGACAAATTGGGATTGAATTTGGACATGGCCAAACACTCTCACTCCTTGTGCCCATTTTATGGCCAACAATACCAGAGGAGGAGCAGCTCAAGCTGCAGCCTCACTCAGCTTTTGTTTGATCTTCAGTTCCAATAAAAGATACTCCAAAGAGTCCTTGTAATACAACAGTATTTTAGTTAAATAATAAGACAAGCTTGTTTGTATGAATCAGAGGCCCATTTAGAAAAAAAAAAGCACAAAAGGGTTGGTGGAGAACATCCCGAGGGATCAGAATTTTAACTGGTCAACACATTGCTCTCAGTTTTTCTGAGAACCTTTTCTTTGGTATCATTAAAAAAATCTTTTCTAATAAAGAAGCATCTCCAGCAAACTCCAGCCTGCAATTTCTAGACAGCAGACCTAAAGCATTGGGAAACTCAAACTGCAACCCCATGGGATCATATCCCATCATATCCCATCAGATCTTCCTGCAGTGCCACAAGCTGTGCTGGGATCCCACACCACCAACTGAATTTGATGGCACATCTCCTTGCACAGGGTAGCAGCAACTGCATTGAACTTTACAAAATGTTATAATCATGTGAAACAATCCACAATATTACTAATATTTATGAGAGATCTCCTCTGTCTTTTTTATCTCTTGCTGGAGCAATAGAAACACTTAACAAAAACGCCTGGAAAATCATAACAGAAAATAGTGTGTTTGCTGCATAACTTCCTAAAACCCAAGTATCAGCTACCCAAGCAGTGCTCCAGTTATTCTGAATATTTTCCATAACCCAGTGTATTGAAAAGCACAAACATTACAGGCAAAGCACCCTGCTTACAAATGATGCTTAATTTGCAGTAAATAACCAAGTTAATTAGGAGTAATGATCCCCTAGACAGTCTCCACATCTAATTATTCTTTAAAAAAAAAATCTGGCTGCTTGATGCACCGCAGAAAAAAAGATCTAGAGAGGATTTTTTCATTCCAGTTTTCAATTTATCTCACTACATTATTAATTAATAATAATTAATATTCAGGCACTCACATTTTTATTTACAATTCAAGGCATGAATTCTTTATGAATGATGATATGAACTTTTAAATTTAATTAAGTAATTTAGAGGTAATTAATGTGTAAATTCAGAATATAAACTTCCTACTTGTTTATCTTAAAAGTGCAGCACTCGTTATTAAAAAAAAAGACCTTTTTGAGATGCAAAATTACTGGGATATAACAGATCATCTGCAGACTGACAGCTACAAAGTACATCATCAGTTGGTCTTTCTGGCAGTTTCCTTATTCTCTTCTAGAAGGATCAACATTAGAAGTCAGATTGCATTACAGTCAAGCAAAGCAAACAAGAATTGTTGAACAGAAAAGCCACCAGCACAAACAGCTTTTAAACAATGAAATGTTACTGGCTTTGAACTACTTCTGCTTCTTGTTATCAGACTTTGGAAGGTACCAGCCCTTTGGGAGATCAAGAGTCGAGCCACGAGGCCCCTTTTCAGAGAGAGACCCACAGAAATAACGGTGGCATTTGCTCGCCCCAGCCCGCTGTTCCTTGGCAGGACTGTGCAACTCAGCCTTTCCAGTTATCTGCACTTACTCCAGTCCTGTAAAATAATTACCAGGAACAGCCCAAATGCTGCACTAGAGAGAACACAACCCAGCTGGGAGCCATCTGTGTTGACTAATCCTACAAAGTGTCTCTAACAGCCGGGAACCACCTTTCCAACAGGACTTTCCCAACTGTCAGATTTGCCATGAAGTCCATATTTACCCTGGGAGAGCACATCCACGGAAGGCTGGTCTGCATTGATCGACTTCAGAACTTTCTGGTAGATCTGGAAAACCTCAGGGAAGTTTCTGTGATATTCCAGCAGCTTCTTGGACACCTCTTGTTCAGACAGATCCTCTGGTTTCACCAGCCGCTCCTGTACCAGGGGATCACTCGGCCAGTCGAAGGTTGTGTGATAAACCTCTGCAAGTCAGATTGGGAACTAAGAGCGTGACTTAATAGGTCTCTAGCTAGACAATGTCCCTCCTAATTCCCCTCCTCAACTTGATTTTTTTACTGAGCAACATCAGAATTTTATTTTGTGATGGTTGATTGATAATAAAACTCGATAGATGATATAGAGCAAAATCTATTTGACAGTGATTTCATGGAAGATACCTAAAAGCATATCTGCCCCTCAGAAACAAAACAGGACCTGGCAGAGATGCACAGCAAAATTCTAAGCTCAAATGGACAGATTTAACCTTCAAATATTCTGTACTGCCATAGTCTGCTGTTTGCAGGTTGAATACTGAGCTTTACATTTCCCTATATTTTATTGACACTGAAAATAATGCAACATCAACAAATACTGTTTTCAAACAGTTTAAATTTATAATTAGAAATTCCGACCACGTAACACTCCAGTTTGTAGTGGAGATCAGGAACAAACACATACAGCACCTTGTGTGAGGGGATCAAGCCTTTTCCCACTGTTCCTCTCAATCAACACGGTGTCTGAAGCATAAAGCATAACTAGGCAGCAAAAAAGGAAAAAAGAAGAAAAAAGAAAAAAACTGTAGCTCTTGTTAGTTACTTGCTTTATTTCCTGTAACTGTTTAAATGTGTCCTAATATTAAAGGTGGCTGAATGCCCTTAAAGCAGATTTGCCTCATTCTTATTTCCCACTATTCTCCCTGCAAATATTTTAATTCACTTTTAATCAGAATTTTGCTTCACCTACTAGACAATATAGTGGGATAAAATATCCATGAATCCAGTACCCATGAGCATTGGCTGTGCCTTCTATCCCTACCAATTAACAACTGTCTCTGGAACCTGGGACAGAAATACCACAAAGCACTTGGGACTGATTCTCTTCTATACCACAAACCACTACTTTTCACCCAGGTACTTTGGTAGTGAGACCAGTGAAACTTATTTTTCTATAACCTCACAGAAAAGTGTTCAAACTTGATTAGAAGCATCAAAAGATGAAGCATCTGTCAGCTCCCTGGGTTGCTTTTGGCTAATCATCCTCACAGTTAAACACTGTAATTTAATTACTATTTCCAGTGCATTTGATTATTGTTTCAAACAAGTTCTTTTTATGATTTTCTTCTCTGTATCAAATAGCTCTTTCAGGCACTTTTCTCCCTATTAAGGTACTCACACATCGTAATCTCATCTCCTCTCAATCTTCTTTTTGATTAACTAGACAGACTGAGCTTTAAGATTCTCATTCAGGTCTTGGTGGCACAGCTATAATTGTGAGCAAAACTCAACTTCAGATGTTATTAGGTATATTAAAAATACATGCAAGTACTAGACATTAAACATTTTTGCCTAACTCTATTGCAGCGATTCTGAATTCTTCATTAACAGTCAAATATCATCCAAATCAAATCCAAAGTGACAATTCATCAAGCTGGATAACGTTCTGTTCAGTGTGCACTGGCAAGCTCTACATTTATCATTTCACACTGTGTTCCACACAGCTGTAATGATTTCTTACATTCTCAGTAGGTCCTTTAACTATATTAATTTGGGACAAGTGGCTTCTCCTACGTGGCAAGGGCAGCTGTCAAGGTCTTGTCTATCAGGAAACAAATGTTCTGTCCAAATCAAGGCAGAATCTACCCTTATTCTGAAAGGTCAGGCTTAAAATCACGATGTTTCCACTTCACTTGGTCAAGTTTATATTCTCTAATTCAACAGAAACGTGAATTTGTATTTCACTACATGAGGAATTGATTTAACCTGAGGATAAAGGCTGATTTTTAGAGATGGAAGTCGGAAGCAAAGCTACTTGTAACTGCTCAGAGGCACTGCAGGGTCTTGGATTCACAGAACTCTGATGTGTAAGAAGAAAAAGGTTCATGTGTGAAAGGGTTTAAAGTCTCACAAGTTATCTCAGGTTTCCAAGTGAATCTGAACCATTCTGAAATATTCTGCTGTCTGGTGACTCTGGTGTCCCAGCACCACTATTGGATTTATTGAGGATTTTTTGGGACAAATGCTTCCAGTCTTTCCTACTGGATGCAATCACACATAAACCTTGTGCTGCTTACCAACATGTCTAGGAAAGATGCCAAAGGATTGCAGCATCCATGCCTGTTCCTGATTTTCAGGGAAGCCTTCCAAAATCCATCCCTATTGAACAAAAACATGAAACAGTTATTGATCCTGGAAGAGAAAAAAAAATCAAAAATTAATACTAAATATCAGTGCTGTTTGCACAAAAATTACCTCATTCTCATCCCACAACAGCACAGGATTTCTCATGGATGCTTGTGAGAGAAGAAAGCAAACATGGAGCACTGATATTTTTGTGAAATGCATCCACTGATACCAGTGCCACAGAGCAAGGGGAACTTAGGGGTTGCAGCAGTGATTTTTTCCCCCCCACATTTCAATCTTAAAAAAAAACCCTAAACCGACTTCTATCTTGAATAAAAACAGCCCAAAACAATTTCTACAGTTTTGAAATATTCAAAAGGATATCAGCCCACACTGTGTATATAAAAAAAAAAAAAAAAAAGAAGAAGCTAAACAAATCTAAAGACAGATTTAATGCCAAGAACACTGAGGAAAATATGCACGCTTTCATTATTTTCTTAAATTATACAGGAAAACTCACAGTAATGGAACCAGCGTTCCCAGAGCTAATGAAGCAACAGAGCAAAAGAAAGAAAAAAGAAAAAAGAGCCTTTTGCTCCCTTAAGTCCTTGTTATAGCCAGCTAAGTGTTGGATTGAGCATCTTTAAAAAAACATTTACAGATCTGTGAAATACCGTAGGAGAGCTGCTGCCTCACTCAGTTTTTGTCTGATGCAGTATTTGAAATCTAATCCACTCCTCAGTCTCAAGCCTGAATCTTCTGAACTTTCCCTAATTTATCTGTTAGTTGCTTGACCACACATGTCCTTGTTCTATGCTATACCCCAAAAGAACTTTGGGATACTACAATAAATCTGGGAGCCATCTTTGCACCGAAATAAAGGCAGTATTTTAATATTGCATTAGCTGGCAATCTATCATCTCCACATAAATCTGATGCTCTGTCAGTGTGGGGCCCAAGGTATTTCAGGGAAACATATCTCCACAACTTCTGGAGGAGGGAATGGGCCATTCCAATTACTCAGGAAAATAGAGTAGACTATTTAAAATCCCTTAATTAGCCTGGTTTCAGGAACGTGTCATCCTGCTGATACCTGTAGAAAATAAGAGACTCAAGTAACTGCAAGGCATTTTTGCCACTCCCAGTGTTTGCTCTGCCGAATTGGAATGAACCACTGGCTAAGGTCACACAGGTGCTGAGAAATCAATTTATCCCCTGGGACTTGCAGGAGGCAAAGCTGCACAATATTTGTACTGGTGTGCTCAGAACTTCAGCACTAGTTTGGAATATATTGTGTACAAAATAGAGATATATATATAGGCCCAGATCTTCTTCTAGGGAGAAATGGCATCTGAGGTCTGAAGCAAATAAATTGATGCCAATTTACACAGACTACAAATGTGGCTTATTTTCTCCACCCCAACAGCAACACTTTTGGAGACTAAAACAAAATAAATAAAACCAAAACCAAAACCAAAAACCAAAAAACACCCACAGAACCTGATGTCACCACTGCTTATTGCTCAAATCACATAATGTGCAACAGGCAGTGAACACAATATTGTATTTTAACAACCCACAGCAAACTTCTAGAGGTTTATATACAAATTTCAAAGGCAACAAGCAACTTTATAGGTAAAAGTTTTTTCTGTTTAGGAAAACATAGCTCAATAAATAGCTTCCTGCAACAAATACATTTTAGGGCATTAAACAAATGCAAAATAAACACACAGCGCAAAAATAGTGAGCATTTTGGAGCTGATTTCCAAAGGTCTCTGAGTTCCAGGGTATCAGTCAGTCCCTAATTAGAATACATTATCCATCTACTTGACACTTCAGTGAAATGTCTATTCCACCACAGAGCTGCAGCTTTGTTCAGAACAGGTTTATTGATATTCTGCTGCATTCCCTCTCCATACCCCCAGTGGCTTGGTTCTGTTTTATCACACATCAAAAAGGCCGTATGCTCAGGGCACCCCATGCACAGCTCAGAGCTGGAGGTCTGAACAGCTGCAAGTAGTGTGGTATCACAGGAGGGACAAGCTCCAAGCAGATGTCACAGATAAAAAAAAAAAAAGGGAAAAAAAAAAGAGGGAAAAAAAAAAGAGTGAAAAGGGAGTGTGGCTTGGGAACGAAGCAAGAGGAAGCGAGACACAGCAGAGCAAGACCTGACTTAAAATATGCCTATCATGCTTTATGCAAACACTGGTCTTTTTTGCCCTCCTGACTATCATTAAAGTGTAATTAGTAACTTCACATGGTAAATTTGTTTCTTTAAGAAGCCATCTATTTTTTGTTCTTGATAGCAGTAACCTCACAGCCACGCACGGGTGGCACCTCATCACACCAAGGGTGGAACAAAGGCTAAAAGTGAGTAATTCCATGGTGCCTTTATTCTGTGGCCACTGTTCCCTCTCCTTCAGCTGGAAACCTCCATCCTTTTCCACATTAAATAGCACATTCTGCTGCTGCCTTAAAGCCAGGTGAGGTGATCCTTGGAGACCTAGGCCATGTTGAAAAAATCAGCAACAAGGAAGCACTTTCAAAGGCATCACTCTCCTCTCCAGATCTCAGGAATCTGGAGAAAAGGAAATGCTCAAGGTCACTCCCAAATGTACATCTCCCTCCTTTGCTGGGAGTACTCTCAGCTATAATACCAAGCCTACAAGTTTCACACTTTCCATCACAATAATAATGACTTGGGTATTCAAGTTCTCTCTTGTTATTTGACCTGTACATCCTCCAGAGTTTTTTTTAATTACAAAATCCAAAACTGACAGTGCCTTTGAATAGTGAGAAGGGATAGCACACAGAAATAATGCTGAATTACGTGGTATGTCTGAAACAAAGCTCAGCCACAAGCCTAAAGATCAAAGGTCATGAATACGTTGCTTTTAGGAAAACAATCACAACAATTTTCCCACATCATTATTCAGTGGTTTTGAATAAGTATTACATGGTTTTCACTTCCAGCTGGAGAAAGGGGGCAGACAATAACACAAAAATATATCAGTAATAGCTTTGCCAGTACGGATGTAAAATTCTGGAGATTTTCAGACCACAGCAGACTGAGGAGTGCAGCAGAAATATGGTCACCCCAGCTCCTGCAGTGTGGATGATGGAAGAGGCTCAAGCCTTACTAGAAAGAAACCTTTTATCCCCCACATCATTTTTGTTGGTTGAGCAAGATGCAAAGCTATTTTTAAAAGTCTCATTCTTGTCAGAAAGCAGGAAAGGTGGTGAATGGGCAGATTCTCTCCCCAGATAAATCTGTGTAACATCATATTCTTTGCATGGAGTTTCACAGAGACAACATGATGATCTTCAGCTACCAAGGTAAAACCAAGAACCACCAAGAGCCATTGCTTTTCTCTGCCTTCCCTTTCAAGGACAGCCACTGCTCTTTTGGACTGTTTAATACCCCTCTAAAGTCATTCTGCCTCTTGTTTTGTGTGAATCACTGGCCTAAGATTAGCTTCTAAAGATCCTAAGACTGCAGAAAGGTGGCCCAGCTCCCTCTCAAATACATCCTCTAGCAATCTTTTCACTGGCTTTCTCCAGTTCCATGAATTCCCTGCACAATCCCAGCAGTCAGAGGGGCTGCAGCCAACCTGTACAACCCTGGAAGAAGAAAAGTCTCCATATCAGCTTCACAAGTCCCATAATGTTTGCAATAAGTTTTCTGGGTGTGCTGGAAAACCTCCCCATGTGATCCCTCGCAGTCCTGACCACATTTGTGTTAGAAGAACACATAACACAGAGTCCCAGCAGAGCTGTTGATCAATAAGAATGTTCTCCTCAGAGAATGCCTGTGACATCCATAAACCTGGGAGTGTCAAAACAACAGCACAAAAAATCCTGTGTTCCTACTGTCAGTGGGATGAAAGCTGTACAATTAATGCCAAGCCAATGACACCACAAGGAGAAATAAAACAAACAGCTGGTGGTAGTGTGGTCCAACACACTGCTCCTAATCTATTAACATTCTCAGTAAAAACATGCTGACTCACATTTTGAAAGAAATGGCATAAATCTGTTCAAATGATGCAAAAAATCCACAGCACTCATTTTATTTTGAATCACACAAGGAAAATATTGCAATTAAAATGCATAGATCCTCTTTTGGATGAGAAAGACATACACAGAGTGATCACAAATTACTATCTGTTAATGTACAGATTTTTAATAACCATCACACCTTTGGAAAACCAATTATGTGGTTTTCCTAAAAACAGCTGAAACCTTAACCAGATTGATAACATCCACTCCATTCTTGCTGAATGTCAGGGAAGCTTTATAAAGGTTTATTCCCCCCTAGTTGTGTAAGACATCCAGCTCTGATTCAGTGCTGCTGGTGATAACAACAGGAACATAAACTGTAGGCAGGGCTCTATGCAGCTGTTGGCATTTTAACCAGCTTGTCACCTTACTCAGATTTTTACATGACCTAATACTTAAAATAACTCACTGGGAGATCCTCCCCTCACTATTGACAGGAAAACTAGAGCCATGCCAACAATTACAGAAAGCATGGAGCAAAAAACCATGGGGTGGATGCAGCCTTTGGAAAGCAATGGAAATTAGCTGTTGAAAACATACATTTTTTTTGATCAGGTAAAGAGACTTATGGGGAAAATAACTTGGAGAGGTTTTAGAGCTGTTATAAAAGCCCTAAACTGAAGAGTTATTCACCTGCTTGCTAGTTTACAACACCTCCTGCCATTCAGCAGCTCTCCTCCAGAGAGTATTAGGGGACAGATTGCCCCAGCAACTCCTACCTGTGAGAGAGCATGTGAGGAAATATTTAACCAAACCACTGAAAATAACAGGGAACCTTCCCTGTCCTACCTGCTACAAGCACAACCAGAGGAGCTGTTTGTGTTCACCTGAGGGGTCTGACACCACCCAAAGCCTGGCAGTCAGGAAAGCAGCTCCTGTCTTAGTTTATCATCTTCCTAACTTGCTCTCATTTCTACAGGTTTAGAGATATTTTAAACATCCTCACTCGAGGAGAAGTATCACCTGAGATCGATGTTGCACATCTTGCCCCAAGGACAAGGTAGTAAATCACACAGTCACCTGACTTGCTGTATATCCATGATATCTCATTGCACTGCCTGCATAAAAAACGTTGACATTCATAGTCATTTTTTTGCTGCTCATTTGCTGGTATATCCAGAGTTGACAATATTGGTTTCTACAGCTACACTCTTTAATCCAAAATACCACAAAAATGAACAAGACAGTACACCACATGTGTGTTTTTAAACTGGCTCTCCTGCCAACTGAAGGGCCTAAGTCCTGTGTGAATTTATTGTAGAGAAACAAATATACCAAGTACTACCATATATTTGATCTGGCTGCTAAGTAACTGTAATGAGTCAAAATAAAATAAAACAGCTCAGCTAAAAAGACCTTCAAGAGAAACCAGACTGACCCATATAATTCAAGCACAGTGGCTAGCAATGCAAAAGTTTAATTCTACTTTGTAAATTTAAAATTAATAGACCAATTATGGAGTAAGGGATGCAGGATTTTGTGAAGAAAAACTGATACCCCTTAGGTTTTCTGCCAATCCCTTCACTCCTTTCTTTCTAAGGATCCAAGAAATCATTGTTTCAGTCTCCCAGGTGATGAAGCATGGAGCAAGAAACACAGGATTCTAAATCACACCAAAAAATGGTCCACTTGGAAAAGAAGGGGGGGGGGGTCATGTCCTTCTACATAATGTACTAGAACATTCTTCCAGTGCAGGAAGGGAACCTCGAAACAACAGCTTGGTTTGGTTTAGCTTAATCATTTTTTCAGTAACACTAAAAACCAGCAGGCAGCATTAAAAGATAAATTCTCATGCAACCAGTGGCTTAGATATTGGGATAGGTCAAGGTTTTAGAACTATTACTAGTTCTAAAACTACTGTTTAAAGAGAGCAGCAGCTGCCCCTGGGCTACAGCTCTGTGCTCTCAACAGAGATGTGACACGGACACAGAGATGTCTTCCAGCAAACCTCTCCAGCAGGAAATGTAAGAGATCACATCTCCAGATATTCATGACCATCCTGACCAAGTTCTCCTTTCCACAGTTCACACACAGTGACTCTGATCCAGCTTACACAAGGCAGGTCCAGTGTAAGACACCTTCACTACTGGCTTAGGTTAAGACAGTTGCCTTTGCACCGAGGCACAGGAATCTTTGGCAACCACTTGTGTCATCAGAGTTCTGAAAGCTGAAACCTTCAATCAGGTGCAGAATTGTTTTTACTTATTCTTGCTAGTTTTGTTGATGTTTCCCTCTATCTGAAAACACTGCACTACAGAATTACCATTGGCATGTTTACAAACAGGGTTTTATCCATGAGATTGTTATATCTCTTGCAAATAATCCCTTATAATGGGCTGACTATAAACTCCATAAACCACAACAACATCTGAGATTTTAAAGAAAACACATAAAAATGATTTTGCTTTCCTTGAGTCCAGACATTAAAGTCAACCAGCATCAGCCTACTAAAGTTCTCTGTGTTAAAAGTCTCTACTTACATCAAGGGTAAGCATGCAGGAGAAAAAAAAAAGCCACACATCTGAATACAGCTAAACCTATTCAGTTGCCTATTTGTATAAGCTAAGAGTGAACATATTAATTAATACCTAGAATATATTCAAATGCAGTTTTTCCTAACACAGGAAGAAAAAAGAGGACACAGTGAGAAATAAATAAAACTGAAATGAGTAACGCCAGACTCTTTCCCCCCCTTTCCTCAATAAGAGTTAAAACCTTAACATATTGATTTTTGTATATTTTCTGTTTATCTGTTTTGTCCACTCTATCTCTGCCAGTTGCCCCAGGCAATCAACAAAGCTCTGCTTGTTCAGCCTTTGATCATCTCTGTGCTGGAAGATTAGCATATGCATACTCTCATCCTCCCTTTTATCCTGTTAATAAAGCTCCAAACTCCCTCCGCTGATGTTCAAGAAAGCAACTGGCTCCAGAGCCCCCGATGATTTGCCCCCATTCCCTGCTCTGCTCAGGACTAGGAATGCTAACTACTGCACGAGTTGTGTAAGTGCTTATCCACCGGCCCTCTGAGGAGCAATTCTTACTTGTTTGATGCAGTCCACGTTTGACAGACGTTCCTGGATCAGATTGGCCCAAAGCGCGTTGGGAATTTTCTAAAGAAAGAACAAAAAAAGGCTGAATATTCACAATTGAGTTCAAAAGGAATTTTACCATGCAGGCACATTCTGGTTAAAGGTGAAGTGAGATGTCTTCTTAAAAATAAAGAAATAAATAATTCAGTGTAAGCCCCGGGTCATTAACATGAGTTAATGACAAAGAGTTAATAAGGGCACAAAAATCAGTGTTAAAGGCAAGCTGAACACAGAGCACGAACATCCATGGGGTTTTTTGCATGCTAACATGGAAGCAGTGACAAGTTTTACACACTAACACACAAATGGGCATGAGACCTGCAAAATCCATAAGAATATCACATCCATAAGTTGTCCTTTTTACCACAAGTGTCTGATCCATGACTGTGTCAGTGGGCTCAGCATCAGGGATCTTGCCAGCTATCAGTGAGACAAAGAGGATCTCAGACACTGAGCAAACAACACAAAGAGTCTGATCTTCAGGTTTGTTTCATCTTTTCAAGTAACTCTGTCATCATCCAGAAAGTTTATTTAAAATGTATTTTATAGTTAAAGATAGCTTATTTTTAAACTCAGGACTGCGAAATGGGATGGAAACTGCATTTGCCAATATTCTCAGAAGTGCTGTTTAGCTCTGTGATTCCTACTTTGTCCATATCTAGAGATGTTTTGTAAGGCAGTATTTTCTATGAAACAGAAGAACAAAGTTCCTCTACAGATTTAACACCTCCCCAACACTTCTTCTGTTGTATTAGACTTCCTGACAAATTAGCAACACCCTTCTTTCTTCTAGTAAGAATTTTTTTCACTATCTCATTAATTTAGGCCTTCATTCTATGCTGAACTTGGTTAAACTCTGTGTTAGCCAGTTTAACTTGATAAAGCCTAAACCTCTGTCCATACCACCCAGAACAGCTGCTAATCATTTGACTAAATGCTTTGTCTCAGTCTCATTTTGTCATTATTGAATGAATACTCAGAAAAAAAACCCCTGCAACCAGATTTTCTACCTCCTAGTTAAAATAAATTATCTTTCACTAAACAATGTGAGCTTGACTCTTTGTTTCCTGCAGTTCCACATATTGTAGATTCTTTTTTTTTTTTTTTCCTAACCAAAGTCTGACGGGTATAAACCCAAAAAGGAGCATTTCTGTAGGCTTGTGTTATTCTAACAGAGGTAGAGAGATATAATGACAATGTGGTTGACTATGAGGAAAGATTTAATAAAATCTTCTTTATTGCATCATGAAATAATTTCACCAGGAGGGGTGGAAGCGCTACCCCAGAAGTCACTTTAAACAAGGATGGAGGAAACACTCCAGAACACACAAAAGAGGCCAGTGTGGCACAGACAAAGTGGCTCAGCCAGGCAGAGGGTTTGCCTGGTTTGTTTATCTCTGCTGTCCCCAGTTCTCAGTGCCTCTCCTCATATCAGCCATTCATAAGGCAACTTTCAAGCAGGTAAAAGAGAAAAAGAGAAGGAAATTGCTGTCTTTCTTGGAAGTCAGCAGGTCCCAGAGGGTGGAGTGTCAGAGCCTCCTGCAGCCCCTCCCTGCTGGAGCTGGGCCCCTGCCTTTGAGCCTGTCACCTTCCAAAGGGGCCCCACGCTGCTCCCAGGAACAGCCAGTGCCTCCCTCACTTCTTTCATGTGTCATGTCAAGGCAGGCTGGAGACTGCTGGGGGTCCTCTCTGTTAAGCCTTGCCAAACCAATTTAAACCAAAATGAGACTAACTTCTTTCAGTGCAGTGGTGTTCTCAGTCCTCTCTTTGGAGTTTATTGCACACAAACAATCAAGGACAGGCGTTCAGGTGTTTCAGTGGTTTAGCTCCTTCTGCTCTCTGTGGCTCAATTCCAGTCTCATTTCCTGGGCAGTTTTCCTCCCACTGAGCAGTGGCCTACAAAATCATTTTCAAGGGGTTGCTTGCAGAATGCCTAATTATTCAACTGGAAATCGTTCTCTCTGATACCTGGGATAGCCCATTTATAATTTCTCTCTCATAAACACATAAATACGTCGTGAGCCTGGTGGATGGGACTGCACCACCCAGAAATCTGCAATAAGGGACAATGACGCACATTTGATTAACAGCCAAAGCAAACCTTGCCTGCAGCACTCAGAGCTGTCCCAACATTCAGCTCAGGTAAAGGACACACCTGCTGCTGTGGGATTTTGTTTATGTTCAGACCACTTTTCTATACACACAGTTTCCATATTGCTGAAAAACTGAACTCACTCATGATTAATTTTAAATATCCCATGTTAGCTCAGGGACATCATACTTCAACTTCCATGCCTGATCTAGCCAGAGTTATATCTCAATGATCTTTTCATAAAACTTTCACCTTTTTTTTTTTGGTGGGGGAGCACTTTCACTGGACTTTTTCTTGGAAGTTTTGGATATATTCGCTCTGAAAACAGCTACAGCTAAAAACTACTGACTTCTCCAAGTTAGCACCTTGGAGAGAACAGCAATCAGGTTTCAAGAAATTGGGTTTAGCATTCTCAGAATCGTGAATGGTTAGATTTAATTTGTTCAGATCATACACATGAAAGGCTGGGCTTTTATGGATACACAAAACTGGAACAGTTCCTATTTGTTCCTTCATAACAGTGTTCCCTGGAATAGATTGGAATGCTGACCATGCCTAGATAAGGATGCCTTGGGTTTTTCTCTCTTAAAAAGCACAGGGACATGATGCAACTCTAGAGCAGTTTTAAGTTATTAAGGAGTATGCAAACACCTCAGCTGCAATTTAGTGTAGCATTAAAAGCACACCCATCCCCCAAACTCACAATTACCACAGTTGTTTCAACTTCTTATTTTATCCAGTTAACAGGAAAAGTGAAACATGAAATAGCTCATCATTAGACTTCACTATAGGAAAACCTGAAGATGCTTCCTATTAACATTATAATAACTAGAGATGAGGGAATAATTTGCAATGATTTATCTAAAAATGTAGCCTCTTTTTCTGTTCATGGAATATTTATTGATAACCTGTGGTTCCTGAATATTCCAAAAATATTTGACTTCTTTTTGGAGCATTTTTACGTGCAGAATGATCCCATTTTACTTTGAACAGTCAATATTTAAAATTCACTACCTGAGCTGTGCTCATTAGGAAGTGGCCAGGTGTGTGTGGGTGAATGATTGCATGTCCAACTTGAAAAATTGAGCTTCAGGGAATAATCACCTATTTTAAATGTGCCTTCCATGAATCCTTGTGCCAGGAAAACCCAAATGCTTTAATGCTTGCTGTGAGCGAACACAAACGAGATGAAAGCTTGGCTAAAGATAAGTGGGTAAAATATGTGAACAAACATTTGCAGAGCTTTTTGCAGCATTTGCCCAGATCTGGTAACATTGGCCTACTGACCTAGAACTGCCTGACCTTTGGCACTGGGGTTAATTCAGCCCCAGTAACTTTATACGTGTGAAACGACATTAAATTGTGTTATATGAGCTTCACACCAGACTTTCAAAAACCACAGCCTTAATTCCTGCTTTTCCTCTTCTCCATTTATTAAATTGCTTTGGCCAGGACTCCCAACTTTTTAATGCCCTGGTTGTATCAAAGGTGGTGTAAACAGCTATTGTTCTGTTCCTGAAAAGAGATCCAAACCTATTAGTGCTAATGGATGCTCTGTTTGCTGGAGGAATCATTTACCACTTGCTTCAGCAGAACCAGGGCTCAGTTACAGCAACAGGAGATTCAGGCAGCAGCCAAGAATCAGGAAGGGAAAATACAGCTCTTGAGATGACAATTTGGCCACATTTTAAGTCACTGTAAAGCTTGCATTGATTTAGAGGAAGCAAGGAGTTCCCTCCTAGTTCCAGGAGTTATGTTTGAAGAAATAAACTCATATGAAAGAACAAAATTACTTAGCCAAAATGTTCTTCTAGACTCTAAATCTCAAAACTAAAGGCAGACTGCACAGTGCTGAACCACCACCAGGCTCTTTGGGCCCTCCTCACTACCTGATTAGCCTTGACATTTTTGACTTTCATCTTCCACACCATCCATCTTTTTAAATCAAATAAGCCCAAAAGGACACCCTTGAAAGTGCATCTGTATAGTCTGAAATATGTTAATAATTACAGTAATTAAACCAAAGGGAATTTTTGTTTTAAATTCTCCCCCTCCAAGTATAAATTTATGAACCTATCAAAACAATCTTTAATAATTAGCAAGAAGATTTCAAAGTACATATTCTCGATAAGAATAATTCTGTATCATCCCAGCCAAATGCAAACCCTTTTGCCAGTGAGTTTAGTGAGTTCAATGAATTCTTTCCTCTCAGATCTTGAAGTATATTACTTGAGCCATCTCCAAACTTCATTCACTAATTCAGTGTGATAAGATTACCCTATTTCCAGCCCAATTTTCTAAGGAAAAAACCCTAATCTATGTATCACACTGTCTGCCATCTCAGTAAATTATGAATCTGTTGGCCAATTCCAATCTTAAATTGGATTTAGCACGGGTGTAGAATTCTCACAGATATGAAATTGCTTCAATTTTTATGAAAATAGGTGATGAGGAAGAAAATATATATTCAAACTAGAGGACTTGCTAGAACGAGTCCCCAAAAACCAGACTTCTTCCACTTTATTTCTCATAGAACACCTTGACATCTGGAGAAAGAAATCAGCTAAAAGGGCAGGAGTCAGTAGCAGAGATGCTTCTCTGTATTCGACATATTTTTCCCATCTACTTGTCACTAATTTTTAATCAGGACACCTGGAAAAAACTGTTCTTTGGACCAATTGCTTTGAACATCAATTAGGAGGCCCACAGTGAAGCATGAAAGGATTTAAAAAGCTGTCTGGAGCAAACACAGTACCTGGAGTTGGGTAGAACTGAACAATCTGAGTAGCTGCTCTTGCCTCAGTTTGAGAGCTCCAAGGGCTGTCAGTCACTGCCTGGATTGTCACACTCCTTTGGAGTTAATGCACCAAGTAAGTTATTTGTGTCATGCTACAGAGAAATCAAGCATGCACAACTAAGTAGCACTGTCAGATCAAAAAAAGTTCTTTGTGTACATATTTTCCAGAGCATTTTGTACCAAAGGAGACCTGAGAGATTAATGCTTATTTTATCGAGATTATCAAACATGCTCAGATAGAAGGCTCTGTGTTTAATGACAGAAGGAACCATTCTGTAAATTGTATTGTGCACTCCTGGACTTATCCCAGTTCTGTTGCTTATTTCAAGGTTAATTTTTCAAGATCTTCATTACCTGACATTGTCTTCCTCTCCTTCTCTGCCCTGACACACTTCTCTTTGTTCATATCTTATCCAGCAGAGCTCACCCTTCTCTGAAAGGCCCTGTACCTACACGTACACAAATGTACAAACTCCCACAGACAGAGGAGTATTTACTCTCATCTGATCAACTCATAGCAGTGGAAAATCACGGGAATGCCACATAATTCCTGTTGTGTGACACGAGAACAGCTGTTATTGTATTCTCTTACACACCTGATTTTTTTCTTTATGTGCCTTTGCTTCCTCCGTCAGCGCTAATGTTTCGTTGAATAACAAAGTCTCCTGAGAGACACGTATGGCATCAAAATGTTTACTAAGCCACATTGCCTGAGGGAAGAAAAGAAATACAGGTTGAAGTATTTGGAAAGAAAATGAAGCATTTTTTTTCAGAAGGCTGCAGAAAGACAGAGCTTTCCCAGCCATTCATTTAAGGGGACAGACTTTATGTGCAGGTTTAAGTGGTTTCTTATAAAGATGTTCAAGAGTCTACAGCTTTGAATAAGGGCTTTCTACCGCTTTGAATAAGGGCTTTTTCATCTCCTGCCCCATAACACAGAATTTAAAGAAGGAAGTATTCTCCCTAGCATCACACACCACCATCACCTGCAGTTTCTGTGGTCAGTTTTCTCTGTGGTTCAAATACAACTCTGACATTTGCAATTAAGGGGTGCCAGTGGACATGAGACAAGTGACCATGCAAATGGAGAAACCCCCAACAAGGGAACACCACAAATGTGTAATTACAGTGCTTCTCACAGGTTAATTAGCCCTGCTAAAACAAAGCAGGCAGAATTCTGTTGCATTCCAGCAGTATCACTACCACTACCTCAGTGAGCTCTCGCAGAGCTCACTTAAAAATTTCCATTTAATCTGTAGTGTAATGTACAGGTGTCTCCCTCAGGAATGCCACAATTCAGTTTGCCTTGTGCTCTTCTATCACTCAGATAAATCTGAAAATTATTTTTCCAGAATAAAGTTTACACAGATGCTGAGCTCAGTGCAATGTAAAGAGTGAGCAGTGTTACAACACTGAATTAGGCTACTTACAACTGTAGTTTTCCCAGAAGCAGGTGGACCAAGTATACAAATTTTTGGAGCTGTGAAACAAGGATATGTCAATGTTAAGATGCAGAACAGCAAAGATCCCAAACAGTTTCTCACTATTGCATTGCATAATATCAGTGTAGTCACAATGAAACAATTATTTCAGATGGAAAGCTGCCTCAACGGAGGCTTCAGGATTGGGCTCTGCTGGGGAAAAGAAGAGGGGAACAGTGAGACAGTGCCAGCTGGGTCCTCCTTTAATCCCCATGGTCAATGAGATTAACACTCTGACTAACTCTGCCATTTGGAGAGATAGATGAGATCTATATATCTCAATCCATCCAAACACACAGAGTTTAGTGGTTGAACCCGAGCATAAGGTACTGACGTTTCCTTACCTGAGTCTGACTTTTATTCCCAAAGCAGTTACTTAGAACAAACATATTTTGTGATGAAAAATTATTTCCCATTTTAGTTTCACCTAAATAGGTTGTGTCAGGGTTCAGAGGAGATTTAGACACTGCAAAACGAAGCACGCTCTCGCTACGCTTTTTGACAGCTACCTTCACATTTTCTAGTCATCCTTAAAAGCAATTTCCCTCATTTCTGCTTCTTGTGTTTCTCTACTGCATATCCCTTTTCTTTCTCTGAGGGGGAAAGCTGCAAAAACTGCATCCCAGTTCTGAGGAATTCTTAATCCAATGCATACAGACAACACAAAAGGCATTACCTTCATAGGTTTTGTTGGGAATGAATTAGAGCCAAGACAAGAGAAAAAGGAGTAATTGTTAGAAAAGCATTTGGAACTTTTTCCAGAAATATACCTTGGGCTGCGACTCCTTGAGCTGTTGTTTTATATTAACAGCTTTGATGTTTTTTCCCCTCTACACCACAGGAAAACAAAAAACCCCAAACCAAACCAGATTATCTACAGGAGGGACTGGTTAGTATTTACTGGGAGTAACATAGGTCAAAGCAGAGGAGGGATCTACTCACCCAAAAAACCTCTTCAGCTCTCGATAACCAAGGGAGATGGTGTCTGATGGTTACAGACAGGCAAGGATGTGAAATGTATTTTTATGAGGCCTTCCAGGAACTTAACAGTTATTGGGCAGGTGCAATTTTTAAACATACATGAAACCCAAATTACGGATTCATCTTTACAAAGTTATCTGACTTGGAAGGTTTAAGAACAACTCCCCCCTTATTGGTTCTTGCAAATGCAACAGAACTAGTACACAATGTAGAAAAATACTTTAAAAGGATACATCAGCTGTTTTTATCACCTAATTTCTTTCAAATGTAATGTGATTAAATCCTAGGTTTTTTTTAAAATCTAACACCTTGAAACTCCAGCCCGGTACTTAGGAATTATTTATAAACAGCGTCATAAAAGAGTGCTCGGGTGCCAACACTAATCAACTTCTTCAAACCACTTCAAAGAAAATCAAAAAACCTTTCCATCCACAGATCCTTTTGAGGTTTAACTAGGAGCATGATTTAAAATTCACAAGAAAGCCCTTAGGTATTGAAGCTTTAATACACAGCTTTCTTGGACAAACGTTTGATAAAAAACGAAACATACCATTATATACACCATCTCATGCTTTAATATTGCCCAGGGCTACTGTAAATGCTCACTTTGTACTAAATCTGGTTTTCTCTCTGCTTAGTGGCTGGCAGCAGATGGGGCAGTGTAATTCACTGATTTACTCATTTGCACACTTGTAAGACTCCTCTAAAGCTCTCTCCCCAAACATATGACACGAGGGCACAACCAGGACACGATGTCACGTTTAACCCCCTCCAATCAACAAAGAGTCAGTGTTTAATACCAGAGATCCGAAGCAGCAGCCAAATGAAATCAGGAAATTCCAGAAAATGCCTTTGTCTTCAGTAACAAATCATATTTCATTCTGTGTTTAGTCCCGATGAGATGTTACAGGATTTACTCTTCCAAGCAAAGTAACTTTTAACATTCAACAGCGATTTTATCAACAACAAAATTAATCCTGGAATAATGCAAAATAACAGCTGGACTCAGTGACTTCCATTTAAATCCAAAAGATTTTATTATTAATATTAACACAACGAAATTTGTTCAACTTGTAAGAGAAGCCCTTTGTCAAACAGAAGCACATGGTACATGCTGAACAGTCTTGCAGAATTTTTTAACATTCCTTCAGAAGTTTGGCTGTAAAGGAAGAACTCACAGAAACGCCTCTTGGATCCTGAAAGCTCCTTTTCATTAGCACAAACCAAGACACCGTGTAGAAAACTTGCATCTCTGAATGTGAAAGAATTATCAGCCTTTATGTGGCCCTTTAAGGTTTTTAGAAGGAACACATAAAAGAACACCAGTGCAGAGCCCTGAGCACAAGCACTTTGCCACACATTTGACCTACGAGGTTTTCAAGGCAGATGTAAGCCATAATCATCATTAGACTTGTTTATATTTTTAAAAGTACTTTAGATCCTATTATTAATTAAAAAGGTTTTCTAACTTCACACCTGGGATAGATGCAATGCCTCTTTTCCACACATCTCTGTTTGAAATTTTCTCTAGGGCTAAAACTGTCTGGCAAGGCAAGATCATGAAAATTCATCACTCTCCTGATGGCTCTAATAAGGTTTTTTTTTCCTTCTAAATAGTCAGCACCTTCCACCATGATCAAAAAGTAAAAGCAACTCTGCTACACATTTCTGTTACATTATTTTCCATATAATTTATTCTTAAAACAACATTTAGGCTTTAATTTTAATTGGAGTTCCTCTCCTTCCTCAGTAGGTTTTTCCAGCCCAAGAGCAGACAGCATTTTCCCTTTGACAAACAGCTGCTGTAGTTCTATCTTTAGCCTCTAAGTACTGAAGTCCTGAAATGGAAACCTGCCTAATTCTGTTTGAATAATACTGAGGGGCTTAGGGACAAATGTAAGCTCAATGTGGAGAAATTTTATCAGCATTCTATCAAACTACATGAAATTCTTCCACATATTTTCCATGGGTCTCTAAACTCAGATTGATTCCTCATGCTGCTGCATCAGAAAAGGCTGGGAACAATTGGCAGGATTTGGTTTCTTTTTTTTTTTTTTTTTTTTTTTTAATGTATTTAGCAGCATTTCAATCAACATCCACCTGATCAGCACCACTAAGAGCTCACAGCACCTCCAGTGATCACGATTTCATTGATGCTGCAGCAGAACTTTCATAATGGTTTTACTCTGGTTTTAAAGAAACATCAAAGCCACATGACACCAGCTCTCCCTGACAGCTCATGCAGAACAAAAATTAGAGTTCACTTGTGCATATCCAAATATAATCTGCCTAAGGGTGAACAGTTTGTAAATCAAATAATTTGATTGAGGGTACAAGCTTTTATTGTGCAGAATACAGACTTCCTCTTCACTTTACCAGGTTTTGTTACACACAGAAGCAGACACACTCACTGTTCCTTCAGCTGAGATGCCACTGAGCACTGGAACTCATTAACAGCAGCCAGTAACGAACTAATCAAAACACAGAGAATCTGCCAGCCCAGGTAGAATAGGAAACCAAATTTACACCTGACAAAAGGAGTAATTAGCGAGCTTAAAGACAACAGGAAATATCAGATGGGGCACAGAAGGCATTAATAATTGATACAGCAGAACTCTTTGTTATTCCCTTAGAGGGTTTCATTGTTATAACTGTTAAAGTGCATTTTTTATTAGATTACCCACTAAAAAAAAAAAAGAAACTGAAAGCATCTTGCCTATAACTATTCCAAAATGCTCACCAGTCTTGTTTGTTCCCCCCTCCTCAGTCTGAAAAGTTTTATCCATCACCTGCCAAGCGCAGCAGTTTCCAGCAGCTGTTTACAAATAAGGGATTGAACTATTTATGGTGTCTCAGTTTTCACTCACCATCATCGTTGTTTTGCTTTAAATGGTTTATCATGAACTCAATGGGATCATCTGGCTTATGAATTAATAGCTCTTCAAGCATGTTCTGAAAATAAATAGGACAAAGTCAGAGGAGAATTTAACAGCGCTGCAGTCGTGGTATCCTGCATTTTTACAGCATTGTTACAATGAGGATCTTAAACAGCTTATAAATGCTTATTTATTTTCTTTCACAGGCAAAATTGAGACTCCAGAGCCTGTTTCAGATGCTGAAAAAATGAAGATGGTCAGAAAATTTCCAGTAAAAAAAAAAAATCCCAACCTGTTTGCTTTGGCTTATTTGTGGTACATATGGACACCAGGAAGGTTTGACTCGAGCAGTTTGGGGTTGACAGTGGCTGAGTCAGAGCTGACATAAAAACCATACAAGGAGTGGCAACTTTCCACTGATTTCGGGGAGGATTGTGGCTTTCCAGGCAGAGAAAGGACTGACCCTGAGAAACACCAACCCCACAGATTCCCCAGTAAGACATTTCAGCACAGCCATGAACTCTGTAACTAAATCTAAATCAAACAGAACTAATGTTCTGACTCAGATAAGCTGCAGAAATGCTCACACTGGAATAGACATCTAGTTCTAAAAAACAGCCATAACACTTTAATATTTGGAAGTAAATCCCATAAAGTCTGTATATTCCATAAAGTTTTATATCCTCACCAACTGATTGTCTATTATTGGAGTAGCCTATTTTCCTTTTCAACTTCATCCACTTCATTGGAATAATTAAACCACTCAATTTTTTTTTTTATAAACTGTTTCACTTGCGAGTTCTGACGCTTCAAGGTCTGAGTAGCAAAGAGCACAAACCATAAAAATTATATTTTTATTGGAAGTTCATTTAAAATTACTTCCCAGCGACACTTATTTAAACATAAATCTGGATTTGGCACTGCACTTATCAGCAGCTTTAAAAATAACAAACCTGAGCAAATCTGGGCTTATTACTATTCAAAAAAGTTCAGGCTGACAGTGACTGACACTGTCACTGTTTCTTGCCCAAATCCTACGTTCAAATCCTTCATTTTATACAGTCCTGCTAAACTCAGTTTAATTTCACATGAGTAGTTCTGTGAATCTCTGGGGGAGGTTCATGTTTTGGGTCCCATGTTTTAGCTTTCACATTTTGTGTTTTGTAAATGTTTAAAGTTTGGGACAACAATTTCGAGCTATGTTTGTTTGTGTCACTAAGTTGCCACAACACAACTGAAGTACGAAAAGAAAACAAGACTCTGAGTCAGTCCCATAAACATTTTATGTACAGTGAGGTCCTGGAGCTCCAAAACACAGTATTTCCACTAAAAAACCCACAAATATTATGCTACACTGGCCATACTAAATAGCTTTAGTTACATGAAAAAAAAAAGAGGATAAAAAAAAGATGAGGCAAGAAAAATAAACATTTGTGTGTATTTCAGTGAGGTCTGAACAAGTAAAAAAGGCTTTCTAACAGAATTATGGGTTAGCAGCACACAGGGACAGTCTCTATCAGAGACAACAACACCAGAATATTTAGTCCCTCGCACAAACCTCCCCATGCACGACAGAAGGGCTTTCCCCAAACTTACAGAACAAAACACACCTTTCCCTAAGGCAGGGAAACCAAATTTGCTATTTACTGAAATCCCAGCGACGCTGGAAGTGCTCTTCTGTTCCTTTATCTGTGACACATCTCACCGAGCAGCCTCAGCAGGAGGGGTTTAGCGGGATGACGCTAATGAGGAGGTGGTGACTGACAAAGGCAAAACCGTCACCGCAGTTCTTCCCGCACTTAATTTGTTATTAATTTGTTATTGTCTCCCCCTCTCTTCCTCCCCCTCCTCCTCCTGCCAAGCCCGCCTCGCCTTTCACAGACTCCTTTTTTCCCACTGGCTGCCACTTTTTTCTCCCCCAAAAACGCCAGATATGAACGGCAGCAACTGCCAATTAATATAATTAACTAAGAGAGCGCTCGGCCGCTTTCCGCACAGGGGGACACCCCCGCGTTGAGCTCCCACAGCAGCCGGCACTCGGCGCTCGCCGGTGCCTTCACCGCCCCCCCTGGGCCGTCGCCGCTCACCTGCAGGATCTGGAAGAGCCCCCGCACCGTCCCCGCTCACCTGCAGGATCTGGAAGAGCCCCCGCACCGTCCCCGCTCACCTGCAGGATCTGGAAGAGCCCCCGCACCGTCCCCGCTCACCTGCAGGATCTGGAAGAGCCCCTGCTCCTCCGCGTAGGTGCCCACGGGCGGCGGCCACAGCTGGGCCGGGTCCTCCATGGCCGCCTCCGCCATGGCCGCCCCTGGCAACGCGACGCGTTGCTAAGGGGACGTCATCACCGCGCGACGGGACCGCGACGGCCGCCTCGTTAACCGCACCGGGAAGGCTGAAGAAACGTCATCGAGCGGCGACGGTTGCCAGGGAGACGGCGTCGCGGTTGCCGTGGCAACGGCGGGGCGGAGGGCCCGCGGTCACCGCTGTCACCCCGGCCAGTCCCCACATCCTGGCCCCTCCCGGGGAGCCGCCGCACCGCCCCCGCCCGCACACCGGCCGGTAGGAGCCGCAGGGCTGGCTGGGCGGCCGCGGAGCGGAGGGAAGGGGCTGCGGGGTGTCCGGCGGGCGGGGCTGCGGGCGAGGCCCCCACCGGAGCTTCAGATCCTTCCCCACCGTCACAGTCAGGAGGGGCAGGTTAAGCACGGCCCCCGCGGCCGGCCCCGGTTAGCGGGGGAGGTTTGGAGCCGCTCGGGCAGTGGTTTCAGGGCGGTAAGAGGAGCCCCGGCTCCCCCCGCGGTGATGCATCGCCGCGTTGTCTTTACAACAGACCCACTCGGGTTTATGGCAGCCCATTGTCAGCGCTCCCCTCTGGGCTCTCCGCCTCTCTCTGCAGCATCATTACTCACTGGCTTACTGCCTGGGGCTCTGGGGCTGCACAGTTTTCACACAATATATCTTCTCTTTTTGCTTCTTTTTACTTTTTTTCCCCGAAGTTTTTCCCCAACCTACACGATTGCAGCTCAGGTGAGGGAGTTACATACGTAGAATCACACCATTTCTAAAAAGCAGCTTCCTTTCTCTCCTTCTCTTCTCGAATCCAGAAATAAGTAAACATGAATGAGGTAGTGGAGACTCTAAGAAACATAGAGCAGAACTACAAGATCTTCCAGCAGCAGCAGTTTACATTTACCAGAGCATTGGATCACACCCGAGAGGAGGCCCATGACTTGCTCAGACCTGTGGCCAGCATCGTGCAGGTACAAAGTATCCAGCACAAAATACTCTGCTCCCCAGAACAGGGACAACACAGTGTCAGGTCAGGGATGAATAAATGTTTTTACCAAGGGAAAATGGACAAAAACTCCCTGGTAATGTTTGTTACAACTCTGCAAACCAGTGGCAAAATCTGGGGAGAGAAATACCTGGGTGAGGGTTTATTAACACAGAAGGAATCTTATTTTTGAGCATCACTTTTGATTTAGTTTAACACTAAATTAAACTGGTTTAGTTTAACACTGTCATTTTGCTGCTGAGGCACAGCCAGAAATACAGGGCACAAGAAAACAATCAAACCAACTCTCCTTCCCCAGCCACTCATGGAATCTGTAATCCTTAACTTGGAGGAACCAGCAGGCTTGGCTCTTCCCCCTGGTATTGGTGCTGCTGTATCTTTCTATAGTGCTTATTAAAAATAATGGCTGTGTTACAGAGGGAGGATGATGGATTGAGGGCTGAGAGTCCCAAGTGGGCACAGGGTTTTCTGGGCTGGTAAGTGAATTGTCTTGGAATTTTATAACACGGGATGTTTTAAGTAGAGCTTAGACCACCTGGAGACGGGGGGGGGATAGTGGGTGAAGAAAAATCTGAATAAAATCAGAATTGTGGATTTGAGGCAGCAGAACCCAGGCACAAAACCCAGGTGGATGCCAAAGACAGAGTGAAGGCCAAGCTGTTATTAGGATTAGGACACAGAAGGAGCTGGTTGTGTTTTCTAAGGGCTGACTCTCTCTAATATAAGGGCTTTGCTCATTGCATGGAGGAGGATTGGGACAGACATTACACTGAGCTATTTTTTTCCCCCCAAAATAGGCATTGAGATGTATAACTTTATAAAAGTGGCAATATTCCAGTGGTACTGA